TTTTTTTGAGATTGATTCAACAATAAGAAAAATGAACCCAATAGATAAAATATGTGGATGAAGCCGATGAAGACAATCGGATTAGTAAGGAAAAAAAAAATTTGTGATCGGAAAAAAAATCAGGTCTCTGATACCATGATAAGAAACAAACGAGACGGAATTTGGGAATTGATCATCTCAATCGGATGATTCAATGTTCTATTAACCATGAATATATATACACAAAATTAGGGCTACAGTTACCTAAATAGAACCTAAGGTTAATATAACAATTACACAAATATACACAATAACACTTTGTACTGCATATGGTTTGATATTATAAATGGTGTCTGTGTTGTGACTTCTTTGTGTGGAATTTGTGTTTAAAGGAGGTATTTTGTGCTTCAAATCAGAGCTGTATGTTGATGTTTATTTAGTTGATTTAAATCCTTTGTGCTTTTAACTCATTGATTTAGGAGAGAAAAGTGTGTTGGGAGAAAACTTGACCAAATTAAATGCACAGTTTAAACAAAAAAAAAAAAAAAAAAAAAAAAAAAAAATCTATTATCTAATACCAGCCTATTTCCGGCTGCCTTGGGTAGTCCTCCTATTCTGGCTTTGGCCGGCTGTAATTATTTGTTTTTATCAATGAATCTATCGTTTTGGAAAAAAAAATACCAGCCTAATTCCAAAGTTTGAATGAAAAAAAGTTGCTAATCATATATCAACAAATCAGGCATAGTAGTAATTAATAATTCGTTGGAGTCTATCCCTCTGCTACTAAATCAGAGGATTAATTAATAATAGCCACAATTACTCTTTAGTAAACCTTAGTAAATGTTTACAGTTAAATGTTAAAAAAGGCGTGTATGGGTTTTGAATTGTGTGAGTGCAGGTAGATATAAGGCTAAAAATGTGTGTTGATTGATTTTTCCCAATATATATATGTATGCAACCAGTATCAATAAAGCAGCTTGAGCCTCCTCCATAAACAATTAACACATACAACCCATATAGTCTATACCTACAATATTTAATAACTAATTAGGGCCTCTCTTCTTCTTCTTCTTCTTCTCCAGCTCGTCCTGGCCGTGTCCCTTAGAACCGAACTCGTACATTATCTATCGCACAATATTGCCGGAAGAAGCCTAGCGCCTTGACCGGGACCTTTCCACCTCTCGCCTACCCTTACAACATATTAATTAATTATAGGCGACAGGTGATGAGATCGGCCTCCGACGGTGATGAGATGAGATCGGCCTCCACGGCTCCCAAACACCAAGTGTTTCTGCCGGAGGGGCCGTTTCTGGCTGGCTGGCCGCCGGCTAAAAGAGGTGATGATCTCAAAGGAAATCAAGCTCTCATTCCAGAGAATGGAATGTGATGTTTTACGTCATGATTGATTAACAAACAATGTTTTGTTTTTTATATTTAAAAGTAATGCATAATGCGATGTAACAAACAAGATTTATTTTTTTTATATTTCAAATAATGTTGTGTTTGGTTATCCACAATATTAATGTTTTCTTTTAATTCTTTCTTATATTTCGAAATAATGTTATGTTTGGTTATCCATTCCGTTTTCGTGAGCGCTATGTGAGGGTAGAGTAGATCATCAAATAAAGCTATTGTTATGTAACAACTCCATTTACCAAAAAAAAAAAAAAATGCTATAACACTTTTATTTGTAAAAAACATTATTTAAAATGGTATATTATATAACTAAAAACAATTAAAGTACTGCAATGCAAATAATAATAATAATAATAATAATAATAATAATAATAATAATAATAATAATAATAATAATAATAATAATAATAATAATAATAATAAATGGCATCTATTGTGCTAAGTGCTAACACTTGTATTTGTCTATTTGGAACCATATAACTAATTCCATTCATTAATTAATAAGCTAAGTGCTAATAGTCATTGCTGACAATTCTCCTGGCATAGTGCTAATAATGGACAAGATCAAAATGACTCAATTAAATTCTGGTGCTTCTTCTATTAGTGAAGTTTCTATTGCAGAATTAATATACAAATTAAATAGGTATATGGGCTTGAAACTAAATACAAATATTCTTTCATAATTAATTAAATTAATTTTAAATTTTTAATTATAGTAAGGGTATTATACAGGTATGTACGAGAGAGAATGCACCTATTTTCAAGGTCCCTAAAAACAATCCTAACTAATTGACCATCTGGCCCAAGCCCACATGGACCGACTGGTCCAATCCACAGGCCATCAGGCTCTCCGACAACTTCAACATCTCCGGCGCCCCCGCCACCGCCACCTCGCCGCTATCGGTTATTTATTTTTTTATTTATATATATTTTTTAATATTTTCTTTGCTCTTTGTATCTCTCCTTAATCTCATTAATCATCACTTTTATTTGATAAAAAATAAAGAGAAAAGGTGTGTAAATTAAGAATCCTAAACTAATTGACCAATCCTTTTCCTAGTTAACAATTAGTGTGAAATCTTAACATAAGCCCCTTTTGCCTATATAAATACACGCACCAAACTTACTTAACCGAAATAAATAATTAATTAATTAATTAATTAATTAAGCTGCTTATATAAGAGTTTCTTGTTTCTAGCTAGTAGATTTTGGGCCAACTTGTAGCTGATCAGTTAAGTGTTCAAAAGGCGTGGTTTTGAGTAAGTTGAATTGTGAAAAAGGTGTGAGTTAATTTGTGGTAGATAGAGTGTTAAAAAGGTGTGTAGATGAGTTGATTTGTCCAATACAATATATATATATACGTAACCAGTAATAAAAAAGATGCATAATCAGTATTGAACTTCCCGCATAAGCAATTATTAATTACAATCATATTAATTCTATACATACAGTTACTAATTAATTATGTCAACCATTTTTGCAATCATGCTGATGATTATCATAATCATCGTTGGCCTCTCTTCTTCTTTTGTTGATGCTCCAGCTCGTCGTGGCCGTGTCCTTGGCCAATCTTCTTCTTCTTCTGGTGATGCTCCAACTCGTCGTGGCCGTGTTCTTAGAACCAAACTCGTGCATTACTTATCGCATGAGTCCCCATACTATGACCCAACCATATCCCCAGAAGAAGCCTCCCGCCTCGACCGGGACTTCTCCGCCTCCCGATTCTCCTACCTCGCTGCTGCTGCCGCCGCCACCACAACAACATCCATCGTCGAGACACCGCTCCAGCCCACCAATGAGAGCTCCGCTTTTCTCGCTCGCGTGCATGTCGGCACCAACAACGACGACCAACGCGACATGTTTATCATAGTCGACACTGGCTCGGGCCTGATGTGGGTTCAGTGCAACCCAGACAACTACTACGCTCCGGCACCGGTGTTCGACCCCAAACGCTCCTCCACCTTCCGCAAGGAGATGTGCAACGACCCGGCCAGCGCCTGCTCTCCTAGTTACGGATGGGTCACTTGCGATTACAAGTACTGCAGGTTCGAAATCGCCTACGTCAAGGGAGAGTGTAGAGGTTACCTTGGCCGGGAGACATTAGAGTTCGAACCCCTCGATAACAACAACAACGAGGAGGAGGCCGAGAGGTTCGTTCTCGAGAACATCACCTTCGGCTGCGCCACTATTTCTACTTTAAGAATCGATGGCGTGTTAGGACTCAACGCTAATCGCGTCTCCCTCATCTCCCAGACGAGGTCCTCGCGCTTTGCCTACTGCATCGGCAACATCAGCGACCCCACGTACCCTTACAACATACTGATTTTAGACGATAAGGAAGAGATCGGGCTCCACGGCACCCAAACAACCCTCATCGTCAACAACCATTACTACATCTACCTCGAGGGCATCACGGTCGGAGGTCAAAACGTCATGGGATTCGATTTCCGCATGTCGATGCTAATGGACTTGGGCGCAACCTACACCTTACTACCCATGGGGTTGCTCAAGAAGCTCGAGGCTGCAGTCGCGGACGTGATTGGAGGGACCCTTACTAGGACCTACTCGATTAAGTTCAACAAGTCGTACACGCTGTTGTGCTATGTAGGGTTTGTGGGCAGGGACCTGGCCGGGTTCCCCGTTGTGGAATTCAAGTTCAACGGAGGTGCCGTGCTCGAGCTCTCCGCTGAAAACATGTTCAGGGACGACGGGGATGGCAATTTCTGCCTCACGGCAGCCACATCTGAGCAGCATGACTTTGAATTCGGCGTCCTGGGGAACTACATGCAGCAATACTATTACGTTGCCTTTGATCTCACGGAGAATCAGCTCTCTTTCCAAAGGATGGAGTGTGATGTTTTACAAAACGATTAACAAACATGGTTTAATTTCTTTCTTATATTTCTAAATAATGTTTAGTTTAGTTATCCATGAGTTTTTGTATTCCTAAATTTGATATACAAACTCAATAAGTATATATATAGACTTGAAACTAAATACAAAATATTATTTCATAATTCATTAAATTAATTTTTAATTATAAATTATAATAATTAAGGGTATTGCACGAGATAATGCACGTCCTAATTAATCTCAAGGTCCCTAGCTAATTAAAATTAAAAACAATCCTAACTAACTGATGAATCCTTTTCCTAACATGAAATCTTAACATGAGCGCCTATAAATAAATACACGCAACAAACCTAACCCGCCAAATAAGTAATTAATTGCTGTAGTTTTGATTGAATCGATTTGTGTTTGAGTTGTTAAAGAAAAAAATTATCCCCAAAACATGATGACGATTATCCTTGTCGTCGTCTCCTTGATATTTTCTGCCGCCTCAGCCACGGTGTCGTCGGGGGGCAACGATGAAGCTCCGGCGGATGATATAGTAGTCCAGCATTTCCTGTGGTGCATGACCACGACTAAACTCGAATTACACAACATCGACGGCCAGTCATGCTATACTTTTTTTAAGTATTTGCCACTTGTGAAAGTAGTGCCGGCTGCGTATGTAAAAGCTCTCTCCATCGTCTACGACAACAACCAGACGCGCATCGATCTCGATCTCTGCAAAACCAATCCCGATCGCTGTCCCGACCAGACATTGAAACTCCTCGACGCATACAAACACGATGTGAGTTGTAATTAACTTTTTTTTTGTGTTTTTTTTTTTTTTTCTGTATAGAAATTGGGTTTAATTAATTTTAATGTTTTTGACTGCATGTACCGAACAATAGGACCGGGTGTGGAAGTTATCAACAAAGTGCAGTATCAGATGATGAGTTGGATCGGCGCTTTTTCAGACAAGAATTTATGTGAAAATAAACTCTTGTAATATGGTAACAACTAACAACATTAATATTCAATGTTCAATATTGTTTGCTTGTTGGAATATATATTTCTGTTTTCTAGTACTCTAATAAATTTCTTTTTCTTATCCAATTTTTTGCAATGGAAATAATTGGGATTGATTGTGTGTTTTTGGAGTAGTGATATGATTCTTACTTGGGAGGGGAACAACAGCTGGAAACGGCTGCTAATACCCCGTAGGTTGAGGAGCAAAAGGAGGAATCCGCCCGAGGAGGAGTAGTGATATGATTCTTGTTGATTAACTAAAGAAACAGAGGAATAAGTTCAATGATCTCGATCGGATTGATGTCTCGCTACCATTACTTGCATTTGATCGCCGGAAAATAATAGACGACGAGCACAACAATTTTACATACCTAGGAAATCGAAACGTCAAATGAAATTGTTTTAACCACATCGAACGCCAATATTGCATCAATAAGGCAAATAGATGAAGCATACGAAAAGGATGATGAGTTGCGCAGAAAATGAAAGTTTTCGTGACTTCCACCATGATTGTTCATGCAAGGGTAGATTGGTCAAACTGAACTACACAACCATTACCCATTTTTTTCAGAAACAACACTCCAGGAGGGTGGAGTTAAGACCGAAGCCAACCTGTATATAAAAAGACCTTAAATGGCTTGAAATGTTACAAGACCACAACAAGTCCAATAACTGATATGCATCAAGTCAAACGAAAAACCAAAAACAAAAGCAAGAAAAAATACAATGAAAAACTGGCAACTGCAGCGGGAAACCAAAAATAATAAATCCTGGTCCGGGGAGAGTCCCGACGAAGTTTGCATAATCTGTACTGAACCTCCTGCATAACCAATTAATACAACCATATTCTATACATACAGCGGTTAATAATTATGTCACCCATTTTCGCAATCCTATTGATGATCCTATCTAGGAAAAAATAGAGATTTAATCCTTTTAGTGGCACCAATTTTCATTTTAGTCCTGTAATTTGCCAACTTTTAGAATAAGTCTTGTAAGTGTCAAAAAACTTGAAATTTAGTCCTATCACCGGTAAAAACAAGTCACTTTTACCGGCTCGCCTACGTGGAATTTTACTCGATTTTTTTTTTTTTTTTTTGCTGATATAACTGACTTGGCAAAATATGTAACATATTTACAAAAAAATGTAAATAGGGGGGTTTGAACCCAGACAAATGTGCATTCAAGTGGCCTTGAGAGCCACTTCACCTACCACAATTTATGTAAATTTTATTATATATTTAGTTACTAGGTTAATATATATATATATATATATATATATATATATATATATATATATTAAATATTTAGTTAATCTACTATTATATATATATTAAATATTTAGTTAATCTACTATTATATATATATTAAATATTTAGTAAATTTACTATTATATATATATATATTAAATAAGTTAATCTACTATTGATATATACTAGTACAACACTCGTGTATTACACGGGTGCTTGCTAATTTTTTTTTTCTTAAAATCTAAAATTAATGAGAAAAAGTAGTTTGAAAATTTAAATACCTTTTATAAGAATATATATTATTATAAATTTATTATGATATTTTTTATTTGTGCAACTTACTTGTGTTATATTATACTAATTTTTTTTAACTTACAATATATAACTACATTACATATAAATATATCAATTGAGAAATAATTTTATTTTTCTAATGAATATTAATAAATATTATTATAAAGATAAATATTACTTATTTCATACAAACAATATGGATGTCAAATCGAAAATCATCAAAAGATGATTAATTTGATATATTATATATGAAAACCGATATGAAATACAAACAATATGGATGTCAAATCGAAGATCATCAAAAGAAGATTAATTTGATATATTATATATGTAAAAGATAAGAAATACAAAAGCTATCAACTTTTAAAATATATTTATAATTCAATAGCTTATTGAAGGAAACAAATCAAAATTCAGGGATATATTAGTCACTTAGTGCCTCACTATGTAAAATTATAAATAATTAAAGGGTTATATTAGTAAAAGTGATATTAATTACCTAAGTTAGCTAAATAATATTTATGGAATACCCGAACCTAAATTATTAATTATTAATATATCAATATTATTTATACAAACCTAATTACGAAGCATGATTATTCGCCAAATAGGATTCCGAAGCACCAGAAGCAGCCACGTAGGCTCATCACGTTTGGAAATTATATATATATTATATAATATATTTATTTATTTAAATATTAACATATTTTTTTAAATATATATATATATATGTTAAAATAAAAGAATTATTATTTAATATATTTATTTATTACGTTATTTGATATATTTATTTATTCAAATACTAAATATATATTAATTAAATATATATTCATTAATTAAATAAATATAAATTAATAAATATAATCAATAATGTAATGTTATTTATTATTTATTATATTAATAAATAAATATATTAAATAGTATTATTTTTAAATAATTATTTATAAATATATTAAATATTATTATTTTTAATATTATTAAAGAGTATAAATTAATAAAATATATTATAAATAAATATATTAAATAGTATTATTTTTAAATAATAAATAATTTTTAATTAAATAAATATAAATTAATAAATATTTTTTATATTAATAAATAAATATATTAATTATATTTAACATATTTATTTATTAAATTATTAAATATTTATTTAGCATACAAATAAAAGTTAATTAAATATATTTAATATTTATTTAGTGAATATTTAATTAAATAAAATTTATTTATTAATTAATTATTTAATATATATTAATTTAATGTCAATTGACTTTAATATATTATATACTATATTATATATTTAATATTTTAATAAAAGTGATAAAAACTATATGTAATAGTTGAATAGATAAATATATCAAATAACGTATTAAATATATATATTAAAAAATATATTAATATTTATATAAATAAATATATTATATAATATATTAAATATATATATAATAGTAGAATAACTAAATATTTAATATATATATATATATATACATATATATATACATATATATATTAACCTAGTAACTAAATATATAATAAATTGTTCTTTAATATATATAAGTGAAGTCACAAAATTTACATAAATTGTGGTAGGTGAAGTGGTTCTCAAGGCCACTTGAATACTCATTGGCTTGGGTTCGAACCCCCATATCTACATCTTTTTGTAAATATGTTACATATTTTGCCAAGTCAGCTAAATCAACAACAACAAAAAAAAAAATCGTGTAAAATTTCACGTAGGCGAGCTGGTAAAAGTATCATGTTTTTGCCGGTGATAGGACTAAATCTCAAGTTTTTTGACACTTACAGGACTTATTCTAAAAGTTGGCAAGTTACAGGATTAAAACGAAAATCGGTGTCACTAAAAGGACTAAATTTCTAATTTTTCCATCCTATCTACTTCTTCTGTTGATACTCCAACTCGTTGTGGCAGTGTCCTTGGCCAATCTTCTTCTTCTTCTCTTAATGCTCCAGGTCTTCATGGCCCTGTCCTTAGAACCAAACTCGTGCATTACTTATCGCATGAGTCCCCATACTATGACCCGACCATATCCCCAGAAGAAGCCTCCCGCCTCGACAAGGACTTCTCCGCCTCCCGAGCCTCCTACCTCGCTGCTGCCACAGTGCCACCACAACAACATCGATCTTCGAGACACCGCTCCAACCCACCAATGAGAGTGTTAAGCTCAAATGCGCAAATGCGGAAGGTGTAAATTAAAATATCAAAGTAAAATGGTAAACAATAATCTCAATCCCAGCAACTCAAAAATGACAAAATAAATCTCTTGCAATAAAACATGAATAATTCTTTTATGATGTGGAAGACCTGATTAAACTGCGACCACAGAGCATACAGAATATCCCAAATAAATAAAATATGCAAGAAATAAGACAACAAGATTTAACGTTGAAAAACCTCCAATGTAGAGGAAAAAACCACGGGATAACCTCCGAATAATTTCACTATATTTTCAAGATAATTACAATATCTTTTCACACTCCCCTACACTAGAAATGTAAAATATAGTGACCCAAAGAAACCCTACTCCTAAACAAGAAATAATAGAGTTGATACCCAACCCGGTGTATTTTTTCCACACTCACAGAATTTACTCAAACACCTTATTTTTATCTCACTGAAAAATAACACTCACAAGATGTTATTTATTCTCTCTTTTTCTTTCTGCTTCTTGGTGCATTGTTCCTCTGCTGATACCCACTATTTATAGGTGACAAATGTTATATGTGAATGCATAAAAGCTTGCAGCTCATTCCTTCCATTTTCTTTCCTCCATGTGGGCAACTCACCAGATTCTTTTTGTTTTGTTTACAACCTTTAGTTTTTTTTTTTTTTTTTTTTTTTTTTTTTTTTTTTTTTTTTTTGTTTGTAGCACCACATGACAATTATTTGGCTGGATATGACAATTCTTCCCCTCCAGCCAAAGGGAAATATTCTGCAAATCTTCACATGCATTCCATGCCGATTATCTCAGTACAAAGCTGAAGCTTTACCCCTGCTACAACTTTAGTCATCATGTCAGCAGAGTTTTCGTCAGTGTGAATCTTTTCCAACTTTTTATTGTTCTTCCACTACTTGATGTAGCCAATGATATCTAACATCAATGTGCTTCGTGCGAGAGTGGTACATCGCTTTCTTACTTAAATCCAATGCGCTCTGACTATCGCAAGGGATATCGTACCTTTCCTGCTTCATTCCCAATTGTTGAAGAAACCTCTTCAACCAATGCATTTCTTTTTCTGCTTATGTCATTGCAATATACTCTGCTTCAGTAGTCGACAAGTCAACAGATTGCTGCAATTTAGATTGCCAAGATACAACTCCCCCTGCAAATGTAAACACAAACCCAGAAGTAGATTTTCTACTATCCAGGTCACATGTCATATCTGCATCTGTATAACCTTTGAGAACTGGGTTTCCTTTTCCAAAGCTCAAGGACTTATTTACATTGTCTTTTTGGTACTTCAAGATTCATTTCACTGTTTCCCAATGATTCTTCCCAGGATTGGAAAGATACCTGCTAACAATTCCAACCGAGTGAGTGATATTTGGTCTTGTACAGACCATGGCATACATCAAACTCCCGACTGCGAGGATTATGGTACACTCGCCATAACTTCTTTTTCTTCTTGACTCGTAGGACAACATCATTTGCTGAGTTTGAAGTGATTGGCGAATGTCGCATTGACTGGCTTAGCAGTTTTCATGTTGAATCTTTCCAGAATCCGATTCAGATACCGTTCTTGCGATAATCATAACCTCTTAGATTTTCAGTCTCACATGATCTGCATGCCCAAAATTTGTTTAGCAGGTTCCAGATCCTTCATTTCAAAGGACTTTGCTAAATCCTTCTTCTGATCACCAATCAATTTTATATCCTGTCCCACTATCAACATATCATCTACATCAGTCTTGGTATATCCATGGCTCGCCATAAACGAGTCAAATTTCTTATACCACTGTCTTGGAGCCTGTTTCAGTCCATACAAGCTCTTCTTCAATCTGCAAACCATGGGCTCATTTCCAGTCCTCTCAAATCCTTCTGGCTGCTCCATGTAGATTTCTTCATCTAGATCTCAGTCTTCACATCTAGTTGTTCAAGCTCCATATCCAAGCTAGCTACCAATCTGAGTACTACGCGAATATAGCTCATCTTTACAACTGGTGAGAATATCTCATCAAAATCTATTCCTCGTTTTTGTCCAAATTCTTTCACGACTAAGTGAGCCTTGTACTTCAACAGCTTGTCACCATCTTTCTTAAGCTTGAACACCCATTTGTTTTCCAAGGCTTTCTTGCCTTCTGGAAGCTTCACAAGCTCATAAGTTTCGTTTTTCACCAGTGAATCCATTTCTTCTTGCATAGCTTTCATCCACTGGGATTTATCCTTATGAGTCTGTACTTCGTCAAAGTTTTCTGGGTCCCCTTCTTTAGTGATGGTAATATACGTGGAACTAGGGTATCTTGTAGACGGTTGGATCGCTCGATTTGATCTTCTGAGCTGAGGCGGAGCTTCGAGCTCTTCCTGCTCGACACCTTTATTATCACCATCTTCTATTGCTGGCTCATCATCAACCCTGAGTTCTCCATCACGCTCTCCCCCTGTTGTGGCATCTTATGAGGTTTGACAAGTGAAAGATCCACCTTTGCACTTGGTTCTCTTGTTTCTGGTGAAGCAGAATCAGACATAGTTTCTTGCTCATGGAACACTACATCTCTGTTTCTGATAATTTTCGATTTTCTGGATCCCATAACCTGCAGCCAAATTCTTCATCTCCATAGCCCAAAAATATACAAGGAATGACTTTATCATCAAGTTTTCGTCTCTGTTCCTTGCTTACGTGAGCATAATCTTTGCATCCAAATACCTTTAAATGAGAAACATCATGTCCAAACCATACTCTCTCAGGGATATCAAAATCCAAAGGAACAGATGGAGATCGGTTGATCAGGTACCACGCCGTTAGAACAGCTTCACCCCAGAATGGCTTAGGTAGCTTAGCAATTCTTAACATACACCTCATTAACATACTTTCTTTGACTTGAGTCAAAGTCAGTTTTCCCTCAGGAGCACAGTTGCTCAACTAGACCACCAGAGTCTCCCAGCTATCCGGTAAAGAACTCAAAAGTAACAGCGCCTGAAGTTTTTCGTCAAGTTTTATCTCCATGGTAACAAGTTGGTTTACCATGTTTTGAAACTCATTCAAGTGTTCTGCAACTGATATTCCGTTCCGGTATTTTACATTTATAAACATTTTAATGATGAAAGCTTTATTCTGTGCAGTCTTCCTCTGATACATTTGTTCAATTTTGTTCCACAGAGTATGGTCTTTCGACTCTGTGGCGACATGGTGGAATATGCTGATATCCACCCATGTTGGATTAAACTGACAGCCTTTCTGTGCAATTTTTTCCAATCGTCATCCTTCACGTCATCTGGCTTGTTGTCTCCTTTTTCTACAGGATCGTATAGATCTTTGTAAAAAAGTATGTACTCCATTTTTGGCTTCTAAATGGAGTAATTTGTTGTTGTGAGCTTCAACATGGTACCCACGTTCTCCTCCATTTAATTTACATTGGTCGATACAGAGCCCAACAACGACGACCAACGCGACATGTTTATCATATTCGACACGGGCTCGGGCCTGATGTGGGTTCAGTGCAACCCAGACAACTACTACGCTCTGACACCGGTGTTCGACCCCAAACGGTCCTCCACCTTCCGCAAGGAGATGTGCAACGACCCGGCCAGTGCCTGCTCTCCTAGTTACGGATGGGTCACTTGCGATTACAAGTACTGCAGGTTCGAAATCGCCTACGTCAAGGGAGAGTGCAGTGGTTACCTTGACCGGGAGACATTCGAGTTCGAACCACTCGATAACAACAACAACGAGGAGGAGGCCGAGAGGTTCGTTCTTGAGAACATCACCTTCGGCTGTGCCACTATTTCTACAACATGAATCGACGGCGTGTTAGGACTCAACGCTAATCGTGTCTCCCTCATCTCCCAGACGGGGTCCTCGCGCTTTGCCTACTGCATCGGCAACATCAGCGACCCCACGTACCCTTACAACATACTGATTTTAGACGATAAGGATGAGATCGGGCTCCACGGCACCCAAACACCCCTCATCGTCAACAACCATTACTACATCTACCTCGAGGGAATCACGGTCGGAGGTAAAAATGTCATGGGATTCGACTTCCGCATGTCGATGCTAATGGACTTGGGCGCAACCTACACCTTACTACCCATGGGGTTGCTCAAGAAGCTCGAGGCTGCAGTCGCGGACGTGATTGGAGGGACCCTGACTAGGACCTATACGATTAAGTTCAAGTCGTACACGTTGTTGTGCTATGTAGGGTTTGTGGGCAGGGACCTGGCCAGATTCCCCGTTGTGGAATTCAAGTTCAACGGCGGGGCCGTGCTCGAGCTCTCTGCTGAAAACATGTTCAGGGACAACGGGGATGGCAATTTCTGCCTCACGACAGCCACATCTGAGGACCATGACTTTGAATTCGGCATCCTGGGGAACTATATGCAGCAATACTATGAAAAATTAAACTCACCTTTCAGTGTGATGTTTTACATCAAAATTAAATCTCGTGTTTGGTGTATTTTACATTAATATATTCCCCTGCCCACGGTGGGCAGTGCCCACTAGTTTGTTTTATATGAAAAACGTATTTTGAGAATACGTTTTTCAATTAAATTTAATTGAAAAACGTATTCTCAAAATACGTTTTTCATATAAAACAAACTAGTGGACACTGCCCACCGTGGGCAGGTGAGCGGGACTGGTATTTTACAACTACTCCATTTAATTTTGCAACAAACAATTGCTTTAACATTTTTATGTTGTCAAAAGCATTATATGATCAAATGGTAAATCATATAATTAACTAAAAACAATTCAGCCAATCAAAGTGCCAAAATAATAATAAATGTTTGCTAACACTTGTATTTGTCTATTTGAAATCATATGATTAATTACTTTCACTAAATTAATAAACTAAGTTATTTATTTTTATATTTTTTATATATTTTAAGTATAAAACATGTAAAAATACAAATCTTAAGGTTGTAGCAATAAGTTTTTTTTATTTTTAGGATTGATATACAAATTAAATCCTCCCTATATATAATTCCCGAATGCGCTGAGCCTACGTGGCTGCTTCTGGTGCTTCGGAATCCTATTTGGCAAAGAATCATGCTTCGTAATTAGGTTTGGACAAATAATATTGATATAATTAATAATCTAGGTTCGAGAATTCCATAAATATTATTTAGCTAACTTAGGTATTTTAATATCACTTTTACTAATATAACCCTTTAATTCTTTGTAATTTTACATAGTGAAGCACTAAGTGACTAATATATCCCTGAATTTTGAGTTGTTTCCTTCAATAAGCTATTGAATTATAAATGTATTTTAAAAATTGATAACTTTTGTATTTCTTATCGGTTTTACATATATAATATATCAAATTAATCATTTTTTGATGATCTTCAATTTGACATCCATATTGTATATATGAAATAATTAAATTATATTTATCTTTATAATAATAAAAAATAATAATATTTATTAAAATTCATTAGAAAAATAAAATTATATCTCAATTCATATAATTGTATTTAATGTAGTTATATGTTGTAAGTTAAAAAAAATTAGTATAATATAACACAAGTAAGTCGCACAAATAAAAAGCGTCATAATAAATATATAATAATATATATATTCTTATAAAAGGTATTTAAATTTTCAAATTACTTTTTTCTCATTAATTTTAGATTTTAAGAAAAAAAATTAGCAAGCACCCGTGTAATACACGGGTGTTGTACTAGTAAGTATATATATATGGACTTGAAACCAAATACAAATATTATTTAATTAGTTAAATTAGTTTATAATTTTAAATTATAGAAAGGGTATTATATATACAGGTATGTACGAGAGAATGCACCTAATGCCAAGGTCCCTAGTTAGAATAGAAGTAAAAACAATCCTAACTAATTGAACAATCCTTTTCTTAATTACTATCAATTAGTGTGATGTGATTAAATCTTTATTATAAGGCCCCCTTTACCTATAAATACACGCAAACAAACCTAACCCAAATAATAAACATGAGTTCCTCCTCTGCTCGGATGACGACGACGATCATCCTAATCGTCGTCTCCTTGATATTTGCTGCCGCCTCAGCCACGCTGTTGGTGGCCAACGATGAAGCTCCGGCGGATGATAGTGTGCAGTATTACCTGTGGTGCTTGACCACGACTAAACTCGAATTACACAACATCGACGATCAGTCGTGCTATATTTTCTTGAAGTATTTGCCGCTTGTCAAAGTAGTGCCGGCTGTGTATGTAAAAGCTCTCTCCATCGTCTACGACAACAACCAGACGCGGGTCGATCTCGATCTCTGCAAAACCAATCCCGATCGCTGTCCCGACCAGACATTGAAACTCTTCGACGCCTACAAACATGATGTGAGTTGTAATATATAACAACAAATACAACTTTAATTAACTTTTTTTTTTTTTTTGTATGTTTGTGTGTGTTATCCATTTTTTTTTTTTTCTTTTTACTGTATGGAAATTTTGTTTAATTATTTGTATGTTTTTTGTTGTACTGATGACGAACAATAGGACCGGGTGTGGAAGTTTTCAACAAAGTGCAGTGTTAGATGATGAGGCAGAGTACGTACGTACGTACCTTTGGATCCGCGTTTTTTCAAATTAAAATTATATGTAAATATTGTAACAACATTAATATTGATCAATATTGTTTGTTTTGTTGGATTTGTGGTTTCTAGTGCTTAAATAAATCTCTTTTTCTTATGTATGTTTCTAAGGTCCCGTTAGGATGGTTCTTGTTCTGTCAATGTTTTTCACAATTGGATACAAGTGTAGATTATGTTGTGTAGATAATCTACTGTTACAAATACTGACGAAACCATTCCGTCAACGGAACTGTAATCGTGATATGATTCTTAATAATTAACCTAAAGAAACTTTAACTGATGAATAATAAGTTCAATGATCTCGGATTGATGTCGCGCCATTGTTGGACATATCCCCATATTCTTCAAGCACCATAGCAGCTGAATAGGCTCGGCCCCGCCCGATTTTCCGAGCCACACTCGTTAAAGACGTACGATTTTAAATACATTGGTACCAATTATTATACTATAATCGCAATATTCTTTTATACCAATTATTATACTATAATCGCAATATTCTTTTAGCTAATCACTTGGGAAACAAGCCAAGCACCTTGTGGTATCATTTTTTTTTTTTTTTGGTACAGAGACTTTCCGATTTCCGGATCCACAGAGAAACCGACTAATCCGGACCTTGTGGTATCATTCGCTGAGAGTTAGTGTTGCTACACAAGTACCAATTATTATATTATAATGAGCTAAGAAGTAAGATTTGCAACGGTTCAATTTTTTAAAATAAATAAAAAGGGGTGAAAGGTATTGTGAGAAATTGGGAAAAATATGATATGTATTATTCATAAGACATGTACACATATATATAGATACATAAAAGGGCCTTAGCCACCTAAACCTAACTTATTGTACAAGAAAATATTTAACATAACTAACACCCCCCTCAAACTCAAGGTGGTATAGTGGAGATCAACTTGAGTTTGCTAAGAAGTAAACAAAAGCGACCGGAAAGGAGAGACTTCGTGAAGACATCTGCTGGTTGATCTATAGAGGAGACGGAAACAAGCTTCACAGTCCCATGTGCAACATGTTGTCGAATGAAGTGACAGACAATCTCAATATGCTTGGTACGCTCATGAAAGGTATCATTATGAGACATCTTTATAGCACTCTGACTATCACAATGTAAAGCAGTAGACGCCGACTGAGGTGCACCAAGATCAGCAAGTAGTCGACGCAGCCATAATAACTCTGAGGTGGAATCAGCAAGAGCACGATACTCAGACTCAGCACTCGATCTGAAAACCAATGTTTGCTTCTTACTGCGCCAAGAGACAAGTGAATCACCCAGAAAGAAGCAGTACCCAGTAATAGAACGACGATCAGTAGGATCTCCAGCCCAATCTGCATCAGAATAACCGCTAAGCGTCAAAGAAGAATGGGCCGAGAAGTGTAAACCATGCAATAGAGTGCCCTTCACATAGCGAAGGATGTGCAACACAGCAGAATGATGCGTGGTTCTCGGAGCAGCCATAAACTGACTCACAATATGAACAGCATGAGCTATATCAGGCCGAGTGACAGTCAAGTATATCAAACTCCCAACAAGCTGACGATATAATGTGGGATCCTCAAGAAGAGAGCCATCAAGTGGAGTAAGACGAACATCATAATCAAGAGGAGTGGAAGCTGTTTGACAATCAGTGAGACCGGCCCGAGCAAGAAAATCAGAGGCATACATGGCTTGAGACAAATAGAATCCATCAGATGAATCAGAGATCTCAAGACCCAAAAAATAGCGAAGCTGGCCCAAACTCTTCATCTCAAAATGTTGGCGAAGATAATCCTGCAAATCGGAAATACCAGTAATATCATCCCCCGTGATGATCATATCGTCAACATAGAGTAGCAAAATAATGATCCCGAAGGAAGAGCGCCGAAGAAATAAAGCAGAATCGTGATCACTCGTAGTGAAACCAAACTGAAACAATGCAGAACTGAACGTGGCATACCAAGCACGAGGCGCTTGTTTCAAGCCATACAAAGCTCGACGTAGACGACAAACTTTCCCAGATGACAATGATCCAGGATGAGGAGTCATGTAAACCTCCTCAGACAAGGCACCGTGTAAGAAGGCATTCTTGACATCTAACTGTAGAAGAGACCATCGACGAACAGCAGCAACTGCAAGTAAACACCGGACAGTAGTAAGACGAGCAACCGGTGCAAAGGTCTCTTCATAATCTATGCCATACTCCTGGGAGTAACCCTTAGCAACCAAACAAGCTTTGTAGCGCTCAATAGATCCATCTGAATTTGTCTTGATCTTATACGCCCACTTGCATCCGATGGGAGTCTTGCCAGCAGGTAAATCCACCAAATCCCAAGTATGAGTCTTTTCTAAGGCCTGTCATAGCTTTTTTGCCACAATGGATCAGCATTCACCTCACGAAAAGACCTAGGCTCATGATGAGATAGAATGGCCGAATAACAATGATAGTCAAGTAAGTGAGAAGGGGGACGACTTACACTAGTCGACCGTCGCTGATCAATAGCTGGCAAAGGTACAGAATCAGAAGAGGGCTCAGTACGAACTGTCGGTTCAGGATGCACAGGTGGAGCCACTTCAGAAGACGGAGGCATGACAGGCGTGTCAATGAGCTGTGAGTCAGAACTTGTATCTGTATCTGGAAAAAGATCTGAAGTAATAGACATGAATAAAGGAGACGCCGAATCAAAAGGAATGTGGAACTTAGACAAGGAGGAAAATGTAGTATGCTCCCAAAAGGTAACATGACGCAAAATACGCAACCGATTAAAAATTGGATCCCAACACCTAAATCCTTTGTGTTCTACCCCATAACCCAAAAAACAACACAGACGAGCTCGGGGTTCTAATTTGGTCCGCTCATGGGACGGAAGAAGAACAAAGCAAACACAACCAAAAGGACGTAATTGAGTATAATCAGGAGACTGACCGTACAACCTCTCAAAAGGACTGACATCACTAATGACTGATGAGGGTAACCGATTGATAGCATAAACAGCAGTCAAGGCTGCCTCACCCCAAAAACGATCAGTACACTGAGCAGAAAGAAGAAGAGCCCGGACAGTATCAAGAATGTGACGGTGTTTACGTTCAGCTCGTCCATTTTGTTGGGAAGTATATGGACACGAACGCTGAACTAAGGTGCCCTAATCAGAAAGAAATTTTAAAAAAGTAGAATCTTTGTACTCAAGAGCATTATCAGTACGCAAGACCTTTATAGGACAAGAAAATTGTGTAAGAATCATGTTAGCAAATTGAACATATATGCTAGACAACTCAGAACGATTTTTGAGAAAATAGATCCAGGTAAAACGAGAAAAATCATCAACAAAAATAACAAAATACCGAAAACCACTCAGAGAAGCAACAGGAGAAGGACCCCAAATATCAGAATGTACCAAACCAAAAGGTTTATCAGCAGTTGACAAACTATCAGAAAAAGAAAAAGCCGGTTGTTTCCCAAGTTTGCAATGAAGACAACTAAAAGACTCAAAATGACCTGAACCCAAAAGACCCTTATTATATAAAGAACGAACTTTATTCGAAGACGCATGCCCAAGACGAAGATGCCACTGGAAACTAGACTTACTATCGGTGGCAGAAGCAGAAAAAGAGTAAGAACGAGGGACATGAAGTGACTCAAGCTCAAATAACTGGCCCGTCTTGCGACCTTTCCCGAGAAGATGTCCCGTCTGCGAATCCTGAACCTGAACACCAGAAGATGAAAATATAACATTAAGACCTTGGTCAACCAATTGACCAACAGAAATAAGATTCAAGGTCAGGTTAGGAACGCAGTATGTGTCGGGAAGATGCAAGGAAGGGGAAGAAATCAAACCAGTGTGAGTAACATTCATAAGAGTACCATTAGCAGTATGTATAGGAGGTAAAGAGGTTACAGAAGACGAAGAAGACAAAAGCTGTGGGCTAGAGGTCATGTGATTGGAACAGCCAGAATCAAAATACCAATGTGATTTGCCTCCGATAGCAGACATAGAAGAATTGGAAAGAATAACCTGTTTGAGAATAGCTTCTATGTCTTGAAGAGTGTAAGACGGATGCTGAGGCTCAGTAGTGACAGCCGCTGTAACAGAAGAAGTGACGGTGGAGGAAGAGCCATGATGTCGATAGAATGAACCTCTCGAACGGTGCGATCTGGCTGGACAATATGTAGCAATATGACCCCAAACATGGCAAATGTGGCACACCACCGTAGGACAAAATGGAGCAATATGACCCCGAACATGACAAATGTGGCAGACCACCATAGAAGAATCCATATCCAAAAAATAAAGAAACACCAGCAACCAGCAACAGTACCAAGACGAAAGAAAATTACGAACTGGATCACAAACCGGATAAAATAGCAGTAACAGGCCAAAATTAAAAAGTGCGCCAAAACCAAATCCGAGCACACCACAAGGTAGCCGACGTCAACAGGAGTCGGCAGCTGAAAGACGGCGGCAATCGGCGTTGGAGGTGGTCCACACGTGCGGCAGGAAGTCGGCAGGACTGGAACAAAAATCACGCGCGTGTGAAGTGCACGCGCCGCCAAATCGGGCGTTTCCGGTGGCCGATTGTTCGCCGGGAGAGTCACGATGGTATGGGAGGTGAGACTTGGATCTTACTGTAAATGAACGGCGAAGCAAAAGTGTATATTGGACCTTAAACCTAGTCTGATACCATGTGAGAAATTGGGAAAAATATGATATGTATTATTCACAAGACATGTACACATATATATAGATACATAAAAGAGCCTTAGCCGTCTAAACCTAACTTATTGTACAAGAAAATATTTAACATAACTAACAGTCATTGTGTACACAGCAGTAACACTCTTTCAATGTTCCTTTCGTTTGACATGTGTCTTCTGTATAGAAATTTAGATGCAGATTTTAATCTGTAAAGGTACTGTTGATTCATATTGCCATATTGGGAAAGTCACATAGTGGGACAAATAAGTTGTGACACACTCTTGATTGTATGACGTTTTACCATAGGTCATAGGTCAAGATATACTGAGCTTTATTTTCAATTATTATCAGTTTCAAGTGTCTTATTTTCAAACATAAATTATTTAATTAATACTATAATTGATATACTGAGCTTTATTTTCAATTAAGTGTCTCATTTATATAAATTATTTAATTAATTAAATATACATTGGCATCAAGATAAGTGTACTGAGCTTTATTTTCAATTTCAAGTGTCTCATTTGCACAATATAAATTATTTAATTAATTAAATATACATTGGGCATCAAGATAAGTGTAAAAATTCATTTGCATGATATAAATTATTTAATTAATTAAATATACATTGGGCATCAAGATAAGTGTACTGAGCTTTATTTTTATTTTCAAAGACAAGTAAAAAGGCAGTACAATTCGCAAAGACGGCCTAGTACTGTACCGTGTTGTGCAACGAATAGTATGTATATCTTTCATGTTTATTTTCTTTTTTTTTTTTATGATCTATTTTACTATACTATTTTGATAGAATATATACTAATAAAAATATGCAATAATATAATATTATTAGAATTTTTTATATAGATTATTGGTAAATGACAATAATACATAGTATTAGAATTTTTTTATATAGATTATTGATAAATTTTTGTATGGTGTGTATCAGTTTTTGAAATAAGATATTAGATATATAATATTATTGTATAGAATTCAAATTATCAATATTAGCTATATACTTTTTTATATATTTCTGGACATGGTTTTATATATTCTATACATGATTTTTGAATTTTATATAAGATTATAAAAAATTATATAAGATTAAATATACCTATACATTAGAATTTATTTAAAATTAAAATAAAAAACACAAAAAAATAATATATTTAATGTAGAGTAAAATACAGAGATGAAATAATATATAAATATACATATATATACCAATTTATTTGAAATCAAAATATAAAAAATTAATATATATTTTTTTTTGGTAGCCAGCCACGATATCCAGAGTTATGCTCTAACTAATCCATTGATCTACCCGGGTCGCACACCTAACCATGGTGGGTGAGTCAATAAAGGTTTTCTGCATCCACAAGAACTCGAACTCGAGACCTTACTTAAGGGACATCAAACTGCTTACCACTTGAGTCAACCCCTATTGATTAAAAATTAATATATTTGATGCAGACTAAAATGTAAAAATTATGGCTAGAGAGGAATGTTTCACTCTACTCGTAAAATCTGCGCTAGAGTAGAGACAAGGACGGGAGATTGCCGAAAGTTGGTAAATTTGACAGGATGAGAGACGGTTAAAAGTAAAAAACAGTGTGGCACATGTATTTATCTGCTCTAGGATGGCATCATATAATTATGATCATTTTTTATTTTTTTTCCTGAGTAAACTCGTTATTCTCCACAACAATATATTAGTTAGATCCTCCAATAAAGCAGTGAAATAAACTATGTCTTTCATTTCATGTCATCCGCTGAAGAAGACCACACAACAAATCCCATCCTATCTCATTTTTGCAGCTTAACACATCAAAAAACCTGAAAAAAGGAAATTAAAAAATAAACACAATCAATCACTTTTCCCAAGCGGAAGTCAGAACTCAGAGATGCCTGGGTATAAATAAGAAAAAAATTAAAAAAAAAAACCCGATAAATACTTCTAATCATCGGAGGATATTGATTTCATGCATATAAATAACTTGAACAAAGTTCATGGAGTTAAAAGAATGCATCAATACAACAACCCTCAGGTGTATCGACTATAAATATGACCAATAACAAATGTAGCCAGGTATCTTGCCTCACACTATTTCACGATCTGCAAATAATATGAGTATGAGACGAAAAATAATATGTGAATTTTAGGTCCATAAAGATGTATCCAACTAACGTTGCCCGATAGTACCATCATGCGGAACACCAATCACAGCATTTAACAACGAAAAGCTCAATTTACATCTTGTATGTTATTGTCAGAATAAACCCAAGGAGTATGAAAAATGAAATTACTTGAAAAGAATGCTTTTTAAACATCAATGTGCATTGTTTCTTCTGATGGTTGGAACTTGCTTGTTGCTCCAAACAAGTCAGCTAATTGCAAGACGATTTCTTGGCAAGTGGGGCTAATGGGTGACATGACTTCCGGAAGACAAGGCATGCATTCGGGTAGAAACTCGGGCTTGTTGAAAGATGGGGAGAAAAGAGATAACACTGCCCGAGTAAATACAAATCTGCAATAGTCAATAGAAAATAATCGTTAGCATTCATCTGGAGCAGACGATTCTTGCAACATGAACAGAAGTAAATTACACAGCAGATAGAGAGAGAGAGAGGAGAGAGAGAGTCTAAGAGAGAGAGAGAGTCTGAGAGAGAGAGACAGTACGAGAGAGAGAGAGAGAGTCTAAGAATATTGAGAAGTCAGAACCCGACCATGAATAATACAATGCATCACATAAAAGCCTCAGATCAAAATGCGCAAAACTAGCCTATAGATTATGTCAAAATCATACTCAGCAAGTGATTGATACATCTTCATCTTTAAATACTACGCGGAAGGTTAGTTGCAAGTGCCCCCAATAGGGGGAGCATATAAAGAAAACAGCTCATGCAGGCATTTGTAATACCTTCAGGGCATGGTAATTGCAACTTTGAAAACAATAACTGGACTTTTTCTACAAGTAGGTTACTAGGCACAACTCAAGAGCGATATTTGTAATTATCTTTTATGCAAAATTGAGTTACCAATTCTATGAGAAACATCAATTCGCTTAAGCACTAGAGGTACCTTAAAAGGAGTCGTCTCAAGAATGGATCCGCTAGAATTTGGGCCCACACAGGATCGAGATTAACTGCGGTAGCCAATAACGACCCAAGTTCACTTAATGAGGACTGGAGCAGCTTATCAGCTTTACTGCACAGGTCCTGAAAACAAACAATGACCTCAAGAAGATAAAACAAACAGAGAAATATAAAGTAATGAACACAGGCAACATTGCAATAATAACCACACATTTTCCATGTCAGAGCCAGAAAACCCAAGTAAAAGAACAAAGGACTGCAAAGGAGCTGTCAGAAAACTCGTGAACAAGCTTCCATTAGATTGACGAGAGGATTCTACAGCTGGCAAAAGTAATGATGTGGCTGGAGATAGTAGAACGGCAACCGGCTCTCCTTTTTCTGATCCACTCAAAACCTGTCCACGCATCATGCTTTTACTTTATTTAGTTTTAATTGTACACCAATAAAATGCTAATTAAGCAATGCATTATATTCATACTCATAAAACCCATTCTAATAACACATCCCAAGTCACTGATAGTTTTTTAATCGTGATATGCAAGCATTAATACTAAATATATAGGAAGCAGAGGTACGCAACATATATTGGCTTTGAAGTATACTAAGCGTTTGTTATAAAATTGACGATACTAAAACCACTGCTACCACATTAGAAGAGAGCAAAACTAAACCAACAAAAAATCATTTTTCCCAGCAAGTTTCCATTTTTTAGCAAGGAGTAATGTATTTTATGGTGCTTGTAAAGCAAATAATTTCTGGAACTCATGCCATATACCACTTCACAGCGACACTAACAGAAATCAATGAAATAAGATTTTCACCCACTGCCCAAATTAAATACTAGGATGGGAATGCATTTGGAGTATTGTGCACAAGCTAGAGATTCCACAAAAGAAAGCTAGTTGTAGTAAATACTTACCTTGAAGGCTTTACTATTTTCACTGTCAATGATTACAAACAGGGGCCTTCTAGTGAAGGGCAGTAAATCAGAAGGATATATACAGTTCGTGCCTGAAACAAAACAATGTATTACTCCTTATCACATCCACTTGGATCAACGAAATTACAAGAATTTAAGTACAAGTTCAAATAACATTTCATTTCTATTACAAGCACAAGCTTAAGAATACTAACTTTAAAGATTAGAAAAAAAAGATAGAACTGTTGCACTAAACAAGAGAAATCATGATGGTAGTTTTAAGATGCCCCAAACAAAACCTCAAGCGTTAATATTTCCAAAGTCCAGTTATGGAAGATATAAACATTTAATGTAATAATGAACCAATAAAAAATGTGATGCTTATACTACCTCCATGTCCACGAGGTCCAAGATGTAAGCAATCAGCCGTATCACCAGCACGATCTACTGAATCGCTATAACAATTAACTGAGCTAGAGTCATTGGTGCTGGAGTGAAACTGAAAGCCCCGTACAATATTTTCTGTGTAAACAGAACTCCCAGCACGAGACGGAGATGATGAAGCACGTGAGCTATTTCCTGTATATGATCATTTTAGACATATTTAACCCAAGAATTAAAATACCTGTTAAAGAACTAACAAGAAAATCTTAGGCATAGTTTTCAATTACCTGATGCTGAAACATAAATCAAGAGTATTCCATCAGGAGGAAGCTCCTCGCAAACCGTGCCTAAAACCTACAAAGTATCAATGCCACATTCTCGAATGAAATTATGTATCTAATGAACTGTACAACTGAACAGTCGGAACTCAGAGCCTACTTGACTGGCAGCATGCTGAGTTTTCTGTCAATAAAATTTCTTTTCTTCATTTCTTTCATTTTTTGGGTCCATTACTAACAAAGAATGCAATTGTAAGAGTTTAAAAGCATATTAATTTTGATCTCAGTTGTTTTTATAAGATCGGTGACAATTAAGGAAGAGTGTAACGATTGAAGTAGTAGCACACTCTTCAATGGCATTATTTGCAGTAAGCTCAGCCAAAATATGATTTAGGACTCCACTATATTTACGACAGTACCATGCATGTATATATATCAACTATTTACACAAGGTTATAATCATAGTTTTATAGTAGCATCAGTAAGGAACAACAAATTGGTTAAACTCACTGCCATGAAATGAGTGACAGATGGGCGGAACAAGATGGCTTTCCGTGGGTTTGGTGGCAAAATAGGATCAGTTATATCCTGATTGACACGACTAGGCCCTGAAGCCCCATTTTGACTGGCACCAGATCCTGTTCCACTTGAGGTAGCAATACTTCCTGGGTAAAATGAACCACTGGGTTCCCATTCTAAACTTTGTAGCATCCTAAATGTGTCAAGTGTGAGTTCTGAAAATTTGACCTGATTAGCGACAAAAGAAGAGTATATGTTGTTCAAAACTAGCACCTAAAATATCATTATTCAAACACGCAAGAAAAAATAAGAATGGAGTTGTGAACCAGGAACACCACTCAGAAATATTGTTCGTTGAAAAATTAAATAAACGGAGCAAACCTCGTTAGGATGGTAGCTGCACAACAAAGCATCTCTCAGTCTTAATTTCCTCTTTGCATCCACAACATGGGGGAATGCATCTGGGTGAAGATCCAACACGATACTATATCTCAAAGGCCTGATATTCATAAAAGCTGTGTCAGCTTTCAGGAATTTAACTATCTCCTGTATCACGAGCTTCCACTCTTTAAAGTCCATTTCCTGTAAACAAGCACAAATATGTGTAATTCAACTGTCTAGGATCTCGGATCGAACTGTAGAAAAATCATGTCACACAAAGACTGCTGTATGATTCGAGTAATTCTATCAAAGCATAGTGGCTAGTTTATATTAATCAAAAACTAAAAAAGTTAATTGAACCATGACATGGATCATCATAGAGGAAAGCCTCATTCGCATGTCAAGGCCTGGAAAATACAACTCTTAATTTTTGTAAGTGAGTTATCATATACGAGCAATGGCATGTTCCACTAGTTCAGTGGGCATGTTCCACCATTTATGTGTCATAATGGCACCATAGAAGACAGCTTCAATTCCACTTCATTATTGAGGCACAGCTTAATAAAACATAAGTACCCATTGCTGGAATATATGACCATTTAGAAATAACCTGGAAAGTCCTTTTGCACTCGTCGAGCATCATTTTAAGCTGATTCACCAGCTGATAAACCATTTCTCGACGGTTCAACACCAGACAAACTGTCAGAAACCGAGCAAGGAACCTCAATTGCTTGCTGGCGAGTTTGACATCCTGATGCAGTCCATCCTTGAAATACTCCCTCGTCAAGATTGCTTCGTAAAATACGTAAGATTCTGATAAATAACTGGCCTCACCAGTCCTCATGTACTGCCCAAAATAAAGCTGCCCTATTCGGGAGGCAATCTCCCCAATCTCCCATCTCTTCAGCCCAGACTCCACCAACTTATGTCGATTCTCTTGTTGAAACTTCCATAACTGGGTATAGACCTTAAAGACTTTGTAGAAATATGTATCATATCTGGAACAGAGTTGGAAAAAATCCAATTGAAAACTTTTTCAAAAAATAGAAATAGATAAAAACTGAGGACATCTTTAATGCTTACATCATGGAAGCCACTCATATATGGATTTCAAAATGTCGAATGTATATCCATACAGTATTCCTCAAGCCGTCAATTCCATACATATGATAACATTTACCGCACCAACTAGTATTTAGTACACACAATTAAGCAAGTTGTCTAAATAGTTGTATTGGACAGCTTCACAACATATATCAACTAGTCAACATTGATGCTTCATTTAAAATCTATCAAGCTTCGTCTCCAAATCAAGATACTAACAACTACTCACGTGCAATTATGCAGGTGAATCATTCTGCAGAACAACCCCGTTTAAGCAGGATCACTGGGGTGCGATCAAGCCAAATCGAAACGCGATTGTATCTTCAAAACTGCAATTATTAAGCAAACACCATTCACACAGCACCAGCAAGGGAAAACCCCGCAACTCCTCACACACACGCACTGCACACAACCCATCACAATTCTACTAAACAAATTTCCCAATAAAAGCACCCAACAAGCTGCAAATTAAAGAACTACAGAGATCCAATTCGACTTTTGGCGCCAAACAATCAGGGTTTTACCTAGTGCGTTGATAGTAGGGCAAATCTCGAATCTTGGCGAATTTCCTGTCGGCCTTGGCCACCAGAGCCCAATAAACCTCGCTCACCGGAATATTACTGTGGCTTCCACTCGGCAGCTGATTTTGCGTCGTTGGCTTCGTCTCTGTCATATTTGAGGGAAGGAGATTGTCACGCTACGCCATTGTTGCGAGCTGTTTTGGACATATCTACACAAATTAGCTGTAGCAGTAGTGAAATTCTTGAACCAAATGGGATTTAGGGGTGGCATTTTTTTAATTAAAAAAACAATTTTTGATTAAAAAAAATTATTAAAAAAATACTTTCTGATTCATATCCAATCACACCCTAAATACTTCACAAACGTAGTTCGATTTAACTCGTTTGTTTAATGAAATGGATATAACTCATATATAAAATGAGTTGAGTCGAACTTGATCAAACTAACTCGTGTTTCTTCTTATGAATTTTATTAAAGAAAAAAAGTAGTCGAGCGAACCATGTTCATGGACAACTTATATAAAGGATTACACTTATTAAATTAGCTTTTGCAAATTTAAATGAGCCGAGCTTGCTCGTTTTTTAAACAAGAACGAGTTCGAAGAGCTACTCGACTCAGTCCTCCTCGAATAACAACCCTATGCATGATGGGTATTTTTATAGATAAAAATACAAATGCATTTTAAGAATTATTCATATATGTTCTTTTGTAAACACCGATCTTGTTATTTTTAAAGTGTTTTTTAAGTATAGTTTTTTAATCAACAGTTATGTAATACGCTTAAACTACTAATATCACATTAGTTCATGATTTAAGAAAATGCATACTATGTATTATTATTTATGCTTTAATAAAACAACTATAAAATCAATTACCAAGGTAAATCACAAAAAGTAAAATAAAACTTCGTTAATATACAAATAAAAATGAATTCGGAGGCGAAATGTGTAATTTTCTCAACTATTATTTTTCGAACAAAATGAATATTTTATATATTTATAGTTATATAAAACCAGAGGAAGGGCACGCAACACAAGCTACGGATAATGGAGTTTTTTTTTTTAAATTAAAGAAAATGCATCTTGAGAGAGTGGGGGATTGAGACCAAATTCCCAATATGTGAATAATACATGACATTTCAGAATAGTGGAAATTCGGGAGATCTGGAAAATTCAAATTTTGATTTTTGATCGGCTAGATCATTATAAAAAATTATTGAACTATAATCAATTAAAATATAGAGATTTTCCCAACGGCTGGTCCCCGATTGCATTTGATACCCAACCCTCATCCTCTTTTTTAAGTTCGCAAGGAAGGGTGAAGGTAATTGAGACGCAACTAAACTCTAAACTCATTGTTGAATATTGGTCAATTGCATTTTCCCTATCCAAGGAAAATCAAGGACATAAAAGAAAGAGAGGGTTGATGTAATTGAGCTCGACCATAGGAAGAGGGTAATTTTTTTCTTTTCGTGAAGGGGATGGAAGCTAATGTACCCGCCCCAGATTCATTTCCTTGGAGCAATTTTGATTCTCGATCGAAGCTCAACAACCTCTGAATTGATGACCAGAGTTTTCCTAAGAGGTGTAGCGCAGTCTGCTCAACCACTTATCCCTGAGTCGTTCCGCTCACAGTGCTTGCCGCCTCCCCTCCAAATCCTCGGTCATCGAGCTAGGCTTTAATCCTCTCATGTTAGTCGAGCATATTGAAACCTCGAACCTCTTATTGAAAATATTTGTCCTACTTTCTCCCCTTTTTAGTGAGAAGTAAGGGACTATATAAGAAGCCAAGAAAGAACTACTTGCAAGCCTGACAAGTACTCATATCTTCACACGGACTAAAAAAAAAAAAAGAAAGAGAAGCAATTTAACTAGCTGGAACATCATTCTCGTTAGTCTTCCTAAGAAATAAGTTTTGAGCCCATATGAAACATAATCCATGATGTCCGCATAAAAGAGTACTTGATATCATGCAGTAGACATACTTAAAATTCATAATGAGTTAATGATTTGTGTATAATTTTGTTTGGAGCATCCACGTTCTACAATGTTTGGTATAAATTTGTTTACGTGAATGTGATAATATATATAGATCAAAGTTTTGAATGACATGAATAAAATTAAATAAAAATAACTAATAAAATAGATTGAATATTGGATTAAATCCTTTTTTTTTTTTGCCGGAACGATAGAGGTATTATAAATAAAAAATGCACAACTATGCAAAAAAGCAGCCCAAGGCTGAATATTACAACCAAGAACTAGAAACTGGGAGGACGGATCGAAAGACCGCCTAGAGCCTCGCTAGCCACGCTAGAATAGAGAATCTACTACACACAACTAAAAGACAACCACACAACTAGGAGCGCTCCCCACGAGAGAATAGGATCGCCCCCCACGGGAGAATCAACATAGAGGCCAATGGTTCAAACCAAAAATACAATACAAAACACTCAGGAAAAGAGCCCAGACCAAAAATACTGAACTAAACAGACTCAAGCAACAGCAAAAACATAAAAACACACAAAAAGCCCCCCCTCTGCAGCAAAACCAACCAGACTAGCAGCCACAAAATCAACCCTGGGGAACCCCGCCAGTTGGGAAGAACGATCCCTCCACTGCAATTAAGCCTAGTTGGATCGCAACTCGAGTCACGAGACCCGCCAAAGCCAATTTACCCACACACCAGAAGTACCAAGAAGCTACCAACACGGCCAACCTAGCCCCCTAACACCACTAGCGAGCTCAGCAGAACCGTGAACACCTCGAATACCAAGGGAACCGGGGAAAAGAGCTGTCTCGATCCCGCAACCTCAACCCCACCATCCCGCAGGCCAAAGAACCTGGGCAACTCAAGAGCCCAACCCTCGAAACACCGAACACCGCCAGTCGCAGACAAAAGAAAACCGAGACAAGAGCGACTAGAAGGAGACTTACCCTCAATCGAGACCAACAACAGCCAATCGACGACCAAAAACACTCTGCCTTCACACATCAGACCGTCGGCGAAAAGGAACGAAGCAGCCGGACGGCTCTAACACCCCGCAGCAAACGGAAGGCTCGCCGACAGAGTCGAGTTCGGGAAGAGGGAGAGGACCGTCTGAAAACCCAAGACTCCACCTGAAACAATGGTCCGCCGACCCAGACCCATAGCTCCGCGACCCAAGGTCACTTCATAGCAACGGAAAGATCGGCTATGGCGAACCCTAGTCCAATTTCGAACGAAAGGGAAAGAAGAATTAGCGCCGCAAGGACCACCGAAGCCAGAGGCGAGCTTGGTCGCGGCATCTGGGAGGGCCGGCCGGCGAGAGGGGGACTACCAGATAGGCTGGCTGCCGGGAGAGAGGCATCGATTGATTAGAGAGGCGACGGGAAGAAGAGTAATTTGGGGGGAGAAGGCGACGTTAGGTTAGGTTGGGTATGTTTTGAATAGGATTAAATCGACTTTCATTTACATAGAGGATATTATTTTTTAAAATTTAGCCTATTTTATATGTGGCATATAAATTTTTGTGAATAGACCTAAAACATCAAGGATGTTCTTACCAATATATAAATATACCTAAATTTTTAATGACATGAATAAAATTAAATAAAAATACTTTTAAATTCACTATATTTTATGAGATCGGGCTTTTTCTTGAGTCTACAATAAATTTAATTGTAAATCGATTATATTTTTCTTCTGGTCACATCATTAGAACTAGGGCTGTAATGAGCCGAGTCGAGGTCGAGCTTAGGGTGTTCGAGCTCGAGCTTGAGCCCTTAACGAGTCGAGCGAGCTCGGCTCGTTAAATATACGAGCCTAAAATCAAGCTCGAGCTCAGCTCGTTAAGGCATCGAGCTCGAGCCTTAACGAACCGATCTCGAGCTTTAACGAGCCGAACTATAAAAATTATATAAAATTTTTATTTTCGAGTCTTATCGAGCTGAGCAGAGCTCAACTCGTTAGCCAAACGAGCTTTTAATGAGCTCGAGTTCGGCTCGTTAAGACCTCGAACTCGAGCCAAACTCGAGCCTTGACGAGCCGAGCTCGAGCCGAGCTGAGTCAGACTCGTTTAATTTAACAGCACTAATTAGAACTTAGAAGTGTCCATTTTCACTTGTGACGAAGAACAAATTTTTATGGACTTCATCTATTTATGGCATGTAAATTGTTTTTTAAATAGAGCCACAAAGTATTGCGAATGTTGTCAAAATGGCCCAAAGAGAGAGACAACAAAGATGCAATTTAATAAAAGCTATGACTCTAAAATTAATCGAGAAATAAACGAAGTTATTTATTAGTAACTGTTAGTTAAATCAATTTTCTCATTCTTGTTTTCCGAATTTCCGAACTCACTGAGTCGCTGCACTGAATTGAAAGGGACCGCCTGCCACCGCACAACCGCCGCCGATCACCAGCTCTCTCGCCGCAGCACCTTCCAATGGCTGAATTCCTTGACCTGGAAACGCAGGACTCCGTCCGCATGCCGTGGAACGTCCTCCCCGGCACGAAAGTCGACGCCGCGAAATGCGCCATCCCGATCTCCGCCGTCTACACCCCCTTAAAACCCCTGCCGGCGTCCACGCCGCTCCTCCCCTATTCACCGCTCCGGTGCCGCAGCTGCCGATCCGTGATCAACCCGTTCTCGATCGTCGATTTCTCCTCGGTGAACAAGATATGGATCTGCAGCTTCTGCCTCCAGCGCAACCACTTCCCGCCGCACTACCAGTCCATATCCGATCAAAATTTGCCGGCGGAGCTCTTCCCGCAGTACACGACGATTGAGTACGAGACCACGGCCCCGAACGAGAAGCCGCCGGCTGGGAGCAGTAACGTGTTTTTGTTTGTTGTGGATACTTGCGTCATTGAGGAGGAATTGGGTTTTTTGAAGTCTGCGCTGTTGCAGGTTAGCTAGTTGCTTTTTCTCGAGATTTGATTATTAAAGACGACTGCTTTTTTTTTTTGGTAGCTGTTTATTTTATCTGATCATTGATTTGAGTAAATAAAACTCAACAATTAGTTTTTGTTTCATTATTTCTTGTTTCCTTTTTATTCTTCCACCTGCATACCTTCAACTGCTTGTTAATTACTAGTTGGAGCTATCGATAAGCAGGCGGAGTGATTGTTTGTTTGGTTATGGAATTTTGTGGAGGATTATTGAATTTGAAATATTTGGACAACAAATTGATCATCAATTTATCAAATTTATTTAGGACCCTGTGAAGAGTTTTGTGGAGAGTTTAGATTCACTTAATGGGCTATTATTTATCTGGAATGCAGGTGTTAGGAATGGTGCCCGAAAATTGTTTGGTTGGGTTGATTACTTTTGGGACATATGTGCATGTCCATGAACTGGGATTTGGGCAGATTCCAAAGGTTCACGTGTTCAAGGGGACAAAGGAGGTGAGCAAGGATCAGTTGTTAGAGCAGATGGGCTTCTTTTCAAAAAGGCCAAAGCCAACTACGGGTGTGATTGCAGGGGTGAGAGATGGACTATCACAGGAAAGCATTGCGAGGTTTTTGTTGCCTGCCTCCGATTGTGAGTTCGTTCTGAATTCGGTATGGTCCTGAAGTATAATGTTCTTTCCTTCTTTTTTTAAAAAAAAAAACAAAAATCAATTTACTTAGTTGATAAAGCCTTAATCTTGTCATTTTTCTTTTGCTTTTCTCTCCTTGTTCACAAGATTTTAGAGGAGCTTCAAAAGGATCCATGGCCGGTTCCATCAGATCAACGGGCCGCTAGATGTACTGGAACTGCATTAAGTTTGGCTGCCCATTTGTTGGGAGTATGTGTTCCTGGTTCGGGAGCTAGAATCATGGCGTTTTTGGGTGGGCCATCAACAGAAGGGCCAGGAGCTGTAAGTTTTTAATGTCCTGGTCTTGTATTAGTTCCAGAATTGACTTTGCAATGATCTGCATTTGTCAAAGATCCTCAATTCAATGCTTATACAGTAGGGACTTAGCAAATGTTCCCATGTAAGGAAAAATTCGGAATTTGCAATACAATGTCTACTTATTGTTTAATCTTTTGATGTTAAGTTTGTCCTGATGGAGAGTGGTACTATTAATGCTTGTCACCAAATTCTAAGCATGGAATCATATGCACAATCTTACTCATAGAATGTTGCTATATGTTCGTTTAGCTGTTATGTCAGCCACAGATAAATGTTTGCCAGTGTTCCTCTCGTTTTGACTTACTGGACCAGATATGTTGGTTGAATATTGTTACAAGGGCCCATGATAAATATCAATAAGAAATTTTCTTATTGATTTTGATTTTTTTCTTCACTCAACTGGGAAAGGTTGCCTTATCCGATTACCTGCTGCATTGGCATAGAACAATTGCTAAAATATATCTCGTACCTAAAAGCAGCTAAACCCACAAATTTTCTGGGTGTCTATTCTGAAATTGGCTTTGACAGGGAATAACTTATTATCTCACAGTTTTATCTTTGAAGTAGACAAGATTTTGCTAAAATAATTTCATTTTCTTTTGCAGATAGTATCTAAAAATCTGTCTGAACCTATTCGTTCTCACAAAGACTTGGACAAAGATTCTGCTCCGCACTATCACAAAGCAGTGAAGTTTTATGAAGGACTTTCAAAACAACTTGTTCATCAAGGCCATGTGCTAGATGTTTTCGCTTGTGCCCTTGATCAGGTATTCATAACCATTAGATTACCAGTTGGGTCTTTTTCTTCTTACACATACAAAAATCTCGAATAGTCATTTATGTGGAAGTCGGTAGCCTGCATTTGTTCTTCAAACTTGTATTTATCATGCGAAATGGCTGAGTTACAGTATATCCTATAAAGTTGTTAATTTGGAAAGTAGTAACATGCATTCCCTTTTAATACACCTGTTTGCTAGGTAGGAGTTGCTGAGCTTAAAGTAGCAGTTGAGAAAACTGGTGGACTTGTTGTTCTTGCTGAAAGTTTTGGCCATTCAGTTTTTAAGGAGTCGCTAAGATGTGTTTTTCAATCTGGCGATCATGATCTGGGATTGTCATCAAAGTAAGGTTTAGATAGGCCTTTTACTCCTTTTGTAGTGCAATTTTCTGGGAGGATCTACTGAACCTTTTTATGTACTGAATTGGTAATGGATCATGTTTGTTTTCTGCTTCTCCAAGCTTCAGACTGCTTTGAATTTTTATGCTATTGCATCTGTTGCTTCAAACAATTTTGCTGACCAGTTTTAAATTACAACACTTGAGGTCTTTCGTTTATTTGATGGAGACCTATTTTGTCATTTACTCTGTGCAGTGGTATATTTGAGATAAACTGCTCAAAGGATATCAAAATTCAAGGAATTATTGGACCTTGTGCATCACTTGATAAGGTGTGATATCTTTATCTTATGAACGATCCTATCCAATCTCCTCACAGTTGACTTACAAGTTTTAGCTTCATGCAGAAAGGTCCTTCCTGTTCTGAAACTGTCATTGGACAAGGAAATACTACTGCATGGAAGTTGTGTGGCCTTGACAAGACTACTTCCTTGTGTATTATATTTGATGCTACCAAGAAAGAGAGCCCAGATTTCATTACTCCGGCAGCCAACAACCAGTTTTATTTCCAGTTTCTGACATAGTATGCGCTAATTAAAATGAAATATTAAACACTAGTACTTATCAGCAACCTGCTAGCTTGTGCTTAATACTTTCAGTGATATGCATCTCCAGTTATCAGCATGGCAGTGGACAAATGAGACTACGTGCCACTACTCTTTCCAGAAGATGGGTTGCTGGACCTGGAACTAAAGAGGTAGCATCTTTGTTGTTTGTTTTCCAATTATTTTCAACTTGCTCGTGATAAAATAGATTACAATGCATAAGCATAGGATTAAGTACAAAAATCAATGTTCAACAATAATTTCATCACTTTCATACAAGAACAAAGATCCGCATGCACCCAATTTTTTTGAATAGTAGAGGTTTAACATGTATTAGATAATTATGCATTCATATATAAATTATAACAAAAAATGTGCAGCTTTAAATAAGTACAATAATATTTTTACTGTAATAAGCTGCAACAAATGTTATATTTGCAAAATTATATCAATAAATTGTAGATATGTACGCATATATTCTTTATATATCAGGCCACATGACACTATCAAAATAGGTCTTAATGTGAAGACCCTCTTTTCAATCATAATTACTGATGAATCCAACTTAAGGGGAAAAACAATCCCTGCTTGATGAATGAGAAATGGATTTTCCCACTTCCCTTAGAAAATTCTATCCTTACTCATCCTATTTGTCTATGTATATTCGATAAACAAGAGGGATTGGATGAGTGGAAGACTTCTCATGGAAACCTGAACGGTGTTTATTATCATCCTATCACCTTACCCTAAGCAGACATGGTCATTAGTTGGCAAACTTTATCAAAATTACTCAGATTCATGTTCACCTTTTAATTGGCAAGATAGAGAATTACAATTTTAAAAACACTGTTATTTTTTTTTTTTTTTTTCCGGAATTTTGTTTAGTTTTATATTTTATAAGAAGATATATCATGAAATTCCCGTCAGGTATTTTTTTTTTCTCAATGCAGAATACCTGATTGTTGTGCTTGTGTTGTGTTCTGCAGGATCTTATATCAGGATTTGACCAAGAAGCAGCGGCAGTGGTAATGGCACGCCAGGTTTCTACCAAAATGGAAACTGAGGTGACATACTAGACTATTTTTTGTGATAATATGTAATGATATGTTTCTCCTACATCTTTATGTAGTGTTCTGTTTTAAAGTTGATCTGCTGAATATCGTTTTGACTTGTGCCATTTTGTTGACTGATGAGCTGCCAATATCAGTTAAAAGTTACTGTAACTGATAATAGTTACTGATTTTCTGTGATGTCTATGATAGTTTCTACTTGCATAACGTGAGTACAGTGGCGTAATTCTTGGTTCTTTTCAATTCGTCATTATAATATTCTGCAGGCTGAATTTGACCCTATAAGATGGCTGGATAAATCATTGATACACATATGTTCTCAATTTGGGGAGTACCAGAAGGATAGTTCATCTTCTTTTAGTTTGTCTTCGAGATTATCGATATTTCCTCAGTTCATGTTTCATTTACGGCGTTCACAATTCGTCCAGGTATGTGGTTACTGTTTATTATGGATGTTAATTTTGCTTGAGTATGCTAGAAAAAAAAAAAAATCTCATATAGGAATGTACGTAAGTTAGAGAGTGGTTCGACAAGCTTCTTCTAACTATGATGTGTTAGGGGGACAAAGTTTGAACATGTTGTCATTGCAGTAGGCTAGTAACTTGGGACTGTGTGAAACAGTGATGGGTGTAGTTGCTTGGTGGTTGTCATGTGTGACCTCATTAGTTAGAAAGTGGATCTTAGACTTGCTGGAACATATTACTAAGGCAAAACTAAGGGCATGCTTGATACAAATATATCCGCTCAAAATGAGTTAATTTTTTTTTTTTTTTGGTTAACCTGATAAAGGTGGTATGATTAGTTGTTAGTGGAATTTTGAATTCATATTAAAACAATATCTAAAATAAAATAATTAAAGTTGATTTAATGTAAAAGTAGGAGAGAGGTGATGTGAAGTGATGGTTAGTTAAAATTATGTGAGTAGATGAATAGTGAATTAAAGTTGATGTGATTTGTGAGAATGATTGGTTGATATTATTTAATTATATTGATAATATTGAGGATAGTTGAGTTGGGTTAATGTTGAGTTAGATTTTGAGTATGAATTATGAGATAGAAATTTTTTATAAACAAACACCCTCTAAACTTGTTTCTTGCTCATCCTTGTGTACTTTTTTCTATATATAAATATTTAAAATTTTTTCTTGATCTTTTTATTCAGGTCTTCAATAACAGTCCGGATGAGACAGCATACTTTAGAATGATACTGAACAGAGAAAATGTTTCTAACTCTGTCGTTATGATTCAACCGTCTTTGATTTCCTACTCATTCCATTCCGCACCAGAACCTGCTCTTCTTGATGTGATTTCCATTGCTGCTGATAGAATACTTCTCTTGGATTCGTATTTCACTATTGTTGTATTTCATGGATCCACTGTTGCACAATGGCGAAAAACTGGGTATCATGAACTGCCCGAACATCAGGTAATGTTGTTCGCTAAATGCCAACTGTTTTATTTTATCTAACCCTATAATAAACATGTAAGCATATGAGACATAACATTTGTTATAACAAATAAATTATCCTCTTCGTCTCATTTTTTTTATAAGAAGCCGTAACACACTAATGACATTTTGAGGATTACCATAGGAAGATATTCAAGCCAACCATTTATATCAAATCCCCACCTCTTCCTACTTATTTAAATAAGAATGTCACCTTATAGAATCGAAGGGTGCTGACTATAGTGGTAACCGTTTTTAGTTGAAGTCATCCTTGCTACGTGTCTCAGTTGAGTAACTGAGTTAAGTTGCTAGTAATATAAGCAAACTAGTATTAGACCCTGTGCATTTGCACAAATGTAAATAAAGTATTGTGAGTTATTTATATGCATATAATGTAAATAAAGTATTGTGAGTTATTTATATGCATATAAT